GGTTGATAGTGACTGGGGACCAAAATGTCTCCTACGTGCTGTAATTGATGCTTTTTGACCCAGTATCTGTTTGAGGTGTGTTTCCTCCGTTAGGAGAGGCCAGAATTTTTGGATACCAATCTTTACTTGGTCCCACCCTGCATCGTATGTCGCAATCATACGTGAGGTGGGTTGGTAGATGTTACAGGTTGCTTCTTACCTAATCTCTATCAACCTCCAAAGCTCTTCTGTATGTAATCTTTAGGCATCTATTGGGATAGCCCTTGTCTTTAAACTGTGGTCTTTGTCCATTGGCTTGGGTCTTAAAGTCCTGGATGGTACTGCAATTCCTGCGGGCCCTGAGGTATTGGCCAATAGGTATGCCTTGCCTCAAGGGCCTAGGGTGGAAGCAGTCCCAGTATAAGAGGCTATTGGAGGCCGTAGGTTTTTAAAAAATTAAAATACCAGCAGTTTGTCCTATTTGAACTAATTACATATATTTTTTGTTTTGCACTTTATATTCACATTGTTTATTCACTTATTTATTTTATTTACCAATACAGAGATTAATAAAATTATCGTTCTTTTTCTGCTCTCTCTGCAAAAAGGCACTTTTTTGGTCTGTTACTGGCAGAGCAACCTATACTGTGGTACCTGGACAGATACTGGGTGCGCTGTTTAGTTAACCCGTTTCAGTCTTCCTTTCTATGATTATTCTGGGTTATGCCTTAAGTACCCCACAACCATTCCAACTTTGGTGAAAGATTTCCTTTCTCTCACCGTAGTTGTATAGGAGCTGCGGTATGGGGGGTTATAGAAGCTGTAGTGTAGGGGACTATAGGAGCTATAGTGTAGGGGGCTAAAGAAGCTGTAGTGTAGGGGGGTATAGGAGTTGTAGTGTAGGGGATACAAAACCTGTAGTGTAGGGGTTATTGAAGCTGTAGTGTAGGGGGTATAGGAGCTTGTGGAGGGGTTTCTGCCGCCAGAGATGTGCTTTCCCCCTAGAGTAGAGAGCACTGAAGTATTCCTAACCATCAATCCAAGCAGTGAAGAGTAGGTATGGCTGTGAAGCGCTTGTATAGCAGGTCCCTACAAACACGAGACTCTATGTTGAGGTTAAAGCAGGTCTGTTTTAATAGTAGCCACACTGGCCCTATGCAAGTCCCCAAACAAGGGATACATCCACATGGACCTTGTTGGGGACTGTGACACAAACTTGTAAACTAATAATAACAGAGTTATAATGTAAGGCACTCCCATAAAAAACATACAATCCCTCCTGTGACGACACCAATCTCGCCACATTGCATTGGAGAAGCCGGGTTGCTCGCCTGTTGCCTTTGGATTATGGCCCCATGTTAAAAGGCTTGATTTTCCCCTGCAAAGACATGAAAGCCGGGTCATTTGGTGCTTTCCCTGTTTGAGCGGTGATACCCCAGATAGCTATGCCATGGAGCCCATTCGTATAATGAAAGACTATGGGAAAGACTTTGGCTCCATGGCAATTGAACTGTATGTGTGTGCTCTGAGCGCCATTCAGTAATAATGTGCGCTCAGATGTGAGCTATCTGGGGATATGTTGAATGTACCTGTTTTGTGCAATGGCTGCACAGTTATATGTTTTTATGTGTTTTATTGTCTTTTGCTGCCATGTGGCTAATGGAGTTTTGCCTCTTTCCTGGAGATAATTGGATTACTTCCCCAATTATCTCCAGGATAGAAGACTCTGTGGAACTGGTTTTGGGCAGAAAAGCCATGCTGCATTTGGTCAAATAGAACTTTTCCTTAACTTTTGAACCACTGGACCAATATGTATGATTTTGACATATGTTTGTATTTGGAGTATGCTGATTCTGAAAATGTGAATGTGATGCATACTTTTCAAGTTAAGAATAATGTGGAAAAATTGTATTTCTCTGCTTGTGCTAAATTACATTACCCATTGTGTAAGGTAATTGAATCACATGCTGAGGGGAGGAATTTGTGTGGGAGTGTCTGAGTGTATTGTAT